TTTTTTGCAGACACCTTATTTTTATTTATTTTTCAAATTCCAAATGAATATTAAATAATAATACTATAATGGTTATCTATATTTTGAATAGATATGTAAAATAATTTTTTAAAAAAGAAAAATAATAATTGTTGAAATTTGATACATTTTGTGCGAACCTTAACACGTAACCTTTGGTATGCATTAATTTACCTTTGTTTATTTATAAATTCATAAACTTTTTAACTAATTCGTTAACTTTTATTGTAAATTCAACTTTAGTAAATAGTTTTTTAAATAGTTTTTTTTTCCGTAACAAAAAACCTCTTTCAAAAATATGGAGTAAAAAGCATTTTAACAATATTTAAAACTGTTAACTTGTTTCATTATTTCTGTTAAAACTTAAAGTAAGTTTGAAAGCTAGTGAAAAAAAATTCTGGTTTGGTCATTGTTTTTTCAAAAATGAAAAAAAGTGCGTGAATGAGTTGTTTATCTTCTTTTATAACAGGAAACTCGTGGTATAATAGTGTGTAAAATTTATGAAACAGTCTCTTAGCTTAACTAAACATTTGCAGTTATTATATCTTTTTATGAGAGGTTTTGTTTGCTTAGGCAATGTCATTTTATCACTTAAATGTCGTAACTGAATTATGATTTATTTGCTTTCATTCTGCTAATTTAAGAAATCCATCTATTGACTTATAATAGCTCCAATCCCTTTTTTAATTATTTTTTTTTATGCCGTCTTGTTATGATTTTAGTAACACTGCTGTAACGAAAATATTCTTTTCCATTTTTTAAGTGTAAAAAATAATACATTAAACTAATTGCAAACGGCAAAGTGAAATGCTAATTAAAAATTTTTTAATGTTAGCTAATTGTCCGTTTGCTTTTAAATCGATGTAACTTTTTTATTTTAGTAAAAAAAAAAAATGATGAAAACTTCGATTTCGTTATGCTTTCTGTTCTTTTTCTTAGTTTTTCTTGTTCTCTATTTCGACTCAAAAATATCACGATTGTGGCGCCATCTACTTACTTTTATCGAAACTTTCCAGCATTACAACTTAAATGGAGAGGAAATAAAATCAACATTTAAACTATTACTTCCGTTACCCTGATAAAAAATTTTCTTCAATCGAGAACATGTAAAAAAGCAATATCCGAACGTTGTTGCTATATTGTAAATCAATCGTGTTCTCAATCACAGTTACTTGGTAAGGTATTTAAAACCAGTAATTTAATGTTTTAAAACCAGAAAAGAAATTGACAAAAATGCTTTAATTTGGCACCAGGGTTCCGAAATGCGTAAACCATTATCTCGTTGGCCATAAGCGATCTTGTAAATGTAAAAGTTAAACTTTTAAAAATCAATATCTTTTTTTTTTATTTTTTGATTGATTTGAGTTGCAATTTGAACGTGAGAATTAAAAACCGGTAAATAAATTTTTGATTGTCAATGTTATGTATTTTTCTTTTAGTGGAGTAACTAACATTAAATATTATTATAACTAATATTAAATAGCACTTTATAATATAAGTTATAATAATATATATTTACATTAAGTATTATATACACTGAATAAAATTATTCATGTTATTTTTTTAATATTTTTTTTATATCTGTTGTTGAACAGCCGACCTAATCTTGAACCAATCCAGAAGACAAGGAAACTCCTGTATCAGTACCCCCAGAGGTATTGATTTGTTATGGGAACATGGAGGACTTTGCGACTCGACATATTAAACGTGCATCAGTCACCATTTACTACACAGGGAGTCTTCGGCCGACGGGGATCGAACTCTCGGGCATGGGTCCAGCGCCCTACCGATCAGGCTATCCCGGCCTTATATTCATGTTATTTGGGATTTATGAATTGAATGGCTTAGGGTAATATAATGATAAGCCACATTTTTAAATAATTTAGAAGAGCGCTTTTGTTGAACGACGCCACGATGTCCGTATACATGTTTCTGTTATTTAATAGAAAGTTTAGGGACCTTATAAAGTACCTCTCATGAAACAGTGTTGAGGAACACTTGGGTGCAAAAATGTCCCATGGACATTAACATTAGCCTGGTTCTTGTTCTATTGTTTGTTTTATTTTATTTTCAATGTGGCTCTAATATATCCCAGCTTTTATGATGCTTTTTCCTTAGAATGCCTAGAAAATAACAAAACGGTAAATTTTACCATTCCACTCAAAGTTAATTACCTTCATTTAGGGAGGAAAAAAAACTAAGTTTTTTTTCCACCGATATATATATTTTTTTGGATTTAATCCCTTTCACTGCGTTAAGTATTGAATGAAAAGTGGAGATTTAAATCAAGTACGATTAATTTCCATTAATTTTTTCGATTCTTTTTTCCAACAAATTATCTTTAAGGTTTTTTGCTCAATTTTTTCACTGAACTACCGTAGTTTTGATTTCAGTTTTTTCACCGAATAGCATTTTTTTTTCTGCACGTATTCTATGTAGAATCTACTCTTAACTTACACACTCTTTTTTTTCCCGCATATTTTATTGAGTGCGTCAAAATTTAATCCCCTCTTTTTCACGCAGATTAATATTAAAAGTGTATGGAAAGTTTTTCTCATTTATTATTCAAATATTATTTTTTTTCTTTCGGAAAAAAAAATATTACTATGATTGTGTTGATAACTTGATATGGTTTTTATTTATTTTTTATTATTATTATTGTTTTTAGAGTTGTGACTTTTAACGCCTTTATATAATCAAAGATATATTTAATGAAAAAGATCAAGAGTATTTATCATTGGATTTTCGCGTAGTAGAATAATCAAAATACTTTTCGTTATTTTTCACGGAATTCTTTGATAATAGAAAATCACTCCGTTAGAAATACTTTTTAGGAATAAATACTTTTTAAAACATGCTTTTTAATATCTAAAGTAGGAGAATACTTTTTCGTTTCCAGAATATTTTTAATTTGGTTTATGCGTAGCAGAGTCCGAAAGAATGAGGTTACTTTTTAGGAGTGAATACTTTTAAAAGCCTACTTTTTAATACCTAAAGTATGACTTACTTTTTCGTTACTGAATATTTTTTATCTGGTTTATGCGTAGTAGAGACCTTAATTATAAGAATACTTTTCTGTTACTGATATTTTTTTTCCACCTGATTTATGCTTAGTGAAACCTTAGATGTAAGAACACTTTTCCGTGACTAAATATTTTTCATCCGATTTATGCGTAGTAGAGACCTTAAATATGAGAATACTTTTCGTTGCTGGATATATTTTTATGAAAGTTATGCGTAATAGTAACATCAAGTTTGAGTGTACTGTTTTCTTACTAAATGTTTATATTATTTTTATATGTAAAACTTAAAAAAGTATTTATTTATTTGTGAATTTTTCTTAATTGTATATGCCGATGTATGCGTAGAAACTTCATACTGTTTTCATCTGATAGACTTCCATACCGATTTCAACCGATATATGCGTTGAAATTTAATACTGATTTCAACCGATGTATGCGTAGCGACAAACTTCATACTGGTTTCAATCGATGTATGCTGTAACGTATTTCTCAACAAACATACAGACAAACATGATTATAAACAAAAACAATTTATTTAAACATAACAAAAACAAAAATAAGAAACACACACAAATTTTCATTCATGACTCTATAGCAGAGAGGATAGGATCTCCTGCGACTTACTCGCTTAAAAATCACCGACTGACTGACTATTACGCATGCGCAGTTCGTTTCTGTTCAGTTGTGGTTAGGGAGATATCACAATGCTTAGAAACTTTATACCGATTTCAACCTATGTATTCCTAGAGACTTCATACTGATTTCAACCGTTGTATGCGTAGAGATTTCGCACTAATTTCAATCGACGTATGCGTGGAAACTTCATACCGATTTCAACCTATGTATTCTTAAAGACTTCGTACTGATTTCAACCGTTGTATGCTTAGATATTTCGCCCTGATTTCAACCAATGTATGCATAGAGACTTCGCCCTGATTTCAACCTATGTATTCTTAGAGACTTCATACTGATTCCGACCGTTGTATGCTTTGAGATTTCGCCCTGATTTCAACCTATGTATGCGTAGAGACTTCCTACCGTTTTCGACCTATGTATTCTTAGAGACTTCATACTGATTCCGACCGTTGTATGCTTTGAGATTTCGCCCTGATTTCAATCTATGTATGCGTAGAGACTTCATACCGTTTTCGACCTATGTATTCTTAGAGACTTCATACTGATTCCGACCGTTGTATGCTTTGAGATTTCGCCCTGATTTCAACCTATGTATGCGTAGAGACTTCCTACCGTTTTCGACCTATGTATTCTTAGAGACTTCATACTGATTCCGACCGTTGTATGCTCTGAGATTTCGCCCTGATTTCAACCTATGTATGCGTAGAGACTTCCTACCGATTTCAACCGATGTATACGTAGAGATTTCATATATAAGGATACTTATATGTATTAATAAGGTGGAGAATACATTATGAGAGGGAAAATTTTTTCAGATTTCTGATATGAGTAGAGAATTTCATGTTCGAAAATACTGTTTAATCATCGAGTATTTTCTTCGGATTTATGTGGACTAACTTTATTTAAGAGGCTATTGTTAAATTAGTATGTGTAGATATTATTAGTCAAGATGTACTAAATGTAATATTTTTACCTGTTTTACGCACGTGTAAAGATCATGTAAGAGAGTACTCATACATTTTTTAACATGTTCACCCGTGTTATGTGCAGAGATCTTATATATGAGAATATTGTCAATTATTGATTTTCCTAATTCGATTAACGCGCTTTATTACGATTCATATATTTATTTATTACATTTATATTTATATAAATATATATTTAATTTGCATCACTAAATCGTAAAATAATTCTGTTGTTCCAGCATTTTGCTTATTTTTTTAGATCTTTGGCCTTTTGAAACTTAAGAATTTGTGAGCTATATATTTAAAACATTATTTCTGAATATAATTTATTGATTATTTTTTGTCTTTTTTCCCCCAGCTGAAGAACTAGTGTGTTTGGCAACGTGGAAAGAGGGATCGACGCGCTACCTGGTGGGCAAACTGGAACACCGGGTGGCCAAAGCGGATGAAGATAAATTCAGATGCTTCGTAAGTGCTATCCATTTTATCTCTTCTCTTCCCCCCCCCATCTCCCTTCTTTCACGCCATAATGTGTTTTCAGACGGTCTATTTGTCTTTATTTAGTCAACGTTGCTTTTGTGTATTTTATGTTTTTGTTGTAAGAAAGAATCTCCGCAAAAGGTCCAACATGTTTAAACTCCGATAAAAATGATAAATTAGATTATAAAAATATATTTGTATATTATGCATATCGTTAGGCAAGCCTAGGCGCCTTCCCCCAATAGATCACGCTCTGAATTTCTTCAACTTTTTTATTTTATTTTATAACTGTCTTTGTACAGCAGGCCCAATTTTGAGTTTACCACTACCAAACTCCGTTGCCTTGTAATTTTGAATCCAATTCAGAAGACAAGTAAACTCTTGGATCAAGTATTTGGGGAAATTTGCCTTCGTGGGAGACTTTTTGATGGAACTAGCCTGCAGTTGCGTTATATGGAGATGAAAACCTCCCACGGTTAGATTGACGGCAAGGGGACTCTAACCCATGATCCTTCTACAACTGATGATATGTTTCGTCAGCACAATGGTCGGTACAAGCCGTGTGCAAAAGTCCTATCGACTGACATCGCTGGGATTCGAACCCCTTTACCTCATTGAGAGGCGAGTGCTCTATGCTCTGACCACCATGGTCTACTTCAACTTTTGAATTAGCATAAGCATTTTTTATATTTTAACCGTCGTTGAACAGCCGACCCAATTTTGGGTTCACGACTGCTGACAGGGTTCTTGCTATCCTAAAAATGTCCTAAAAAAGTGCTAAAATTTTTCCCCAACTTTATTAGGGCCTAAAAAGTGCTAAAATTTCTTCTGAGTGCTAAAAAAGTGCTAAATATTTTTCATTTTGGCGTTTTGAAAATTTTTTTGAGCGGTCGGATTCCCTAAATCCTTAAATTCTGTTGCCTTCTTTTTAGAAGATTCTTGGGCTTTGGGGAAAGAAGTTCTTTCTTCTGAGATTTTATGGGCTTTAAAAGTTGTAGAAAGCTACTACTCCTACAATTCTTCCAAAGACACTGGAAAATTATTTAGTACAATGTTTCCAGACAGTTCAATAGCACGTCATTTTGCCTGCAGTGAATCTAAGTGTGCATATCTCTGTCATTTTGGACTTGCACCTCATTTTAGCATGCTACTTCTGAAGTGCATTGATAATGCCAAGTTTTATATATTGCTTTTTGATGAGTCTTTGAACAAAGCGACACAGCAGAAGCAGTTGGATATACATATCCACTTTTGAAACCCAGATAAGAACATTGTAGAGACGCGATACTTAACATCAGCTTTTCTGGGCCTTTCTACAGCAGATGACCTTTTAGCCTGCTTTTATTCATCAGTCAAAAATGTAGACCTGAAGAAATTATTGCAGATTTCTATGGACGGTCCTGCTGTCAATTGGAAGTTTTATAATAATATTCAAGAAGATTTGTTAAAGGAACATGGTGTTCAATGCAATGCAATAGGAAGTTGTGGGCTTCATATTTTAAATAATGCATTCTACAAAGGTGAGTCTGAAACAGAATGGCTCATTGGTTCCATCCTGAGCTCAATCTTCTATCTTTTTAAAGATTCACCCACAAGAAAAGAAGATTTTATTAATCAATCAACTGAGAACAAATTACCACTAAAATTTTGTAACCACCGTTGGCTGGAAAATGCACCTGCAGCTGAAAGAGCAATATTGCTTTGGAATGATCTGAAATCTTATGTGAAAAATGTTGGCAAGTTTAGAAAAGTGAAATGTAAATCCTTTTTAACTTTACAAGAAGCAATAAAAGACAAATTAATTCTTGTTAAGCTGAACTTTTTCTTAAATGTGTCGGAGCTAGTTTCACCATTTTTGAAACTGTATCAAGCAGATCGGCCACTTTTACCATTTTTTGCTGCAGATATCCAGGATTTGGTATTACATAGTGTGCAATTATATAACATTCTGAAGCCAGAATCTATAGAAAACTTAAATTCTCTGGAGAAACTGTGCCATTTTAATTTTTGTGATGAAAAGAATTATGTCTCTCTGACAAAAATCAGTGTAGGTTTTAAAGGTGACCAAATTTTAAAGCAGCTGTTGGCCTCAAAAGTTATTTCTGACCGAGATCATATGAATATAAAGAAAGATTGCAGAAAGTTTATCACCAAAATGTTAGAAACTTTACTAGAGAAATGTCCAATAAACTATTCTGTTGTTAGAAATGTTGCTTGCATCAATCCAAAATTAATGTCAGAAAGCAAAAGCAAGTGTGTTCTAAAAATGAGAAACATATTAAATGACTTAAGTCAAAAAAAGAAAATCGAGGAAAAAGATTGTGACAAAATTAAGCCGTAATTTGCATCATGTATAGATTAATTATGTAATTTTTACTTCATGAATCGTTAAACACTTTATTTGTACATTTTTAATATTATGTATAGATTAAGTATGTTATTTTTACTTTACATCAAGTGCTAATTTTTTTTTCTTAGTCCTAAAAAAGTCCTAATTTTTTTTTGAAATAATTGAGCAAGAACCCTGTGCTGATGTTTAACTCCTGTAGCCTTCTAATTTAGAACCAATCCTAAAGACAAGAAAACTCCTGTATCAGTACCCCCAGAGGTATTGATTTGTTATGGGAACATGGAGGACTTTGCGACTCGACAGATTTAACGTGCATCAGTCACCATTTACCACACATCTTCGGTCGGCCGGGATCGAACCCACGAACTCCTCTTGGACATAGGCCCAGTGCCCGAGCAACCAGGCTACCCCGGCCCAGTATCAACAATTTGAATAATGCTAGTACTAATATGGTCTAGCACTAGATAAATCACTATGATCTAAATTAAACTCAGTACTGCGATATCCCAGGGGGAAGGCCAAGGCCTACTGTGCCTATCTCAGTTTTCTTCACCTTAGGCCTCCGGGGATGCCGAAGGAGATGTTCCAGTTAGATGGTCAGTCGAACGTGGAACTCCCCAGTGTTTAGTTGCTAAGTATGCTTGGTTCTCATTTTATCCTCCAATTGAATGAATGAAATGCTGAGTCAACCTTGCCCGGTCCAAGGTTAGAACCCCGGACCTGTGCCACGGGATCGCAAAGCGCTACAACTCAGCCAACGGGCATCATTGCTATGCTGTACAATGGCTTATGGTGGTGCCTGGTTCTTTTTCGAAAGACAAACAAAGATGTCTCTCTGGTTTTCCATTGTCAAAAATATTAGAAGTGAAATTTTTTTTTTTAACATAATGGTCCGACAATGTGCAAAAGAACATGCCTGACTTAACTAATCCTTGCTTTAGCTAAACAGTCTACAAGTTCCTGTTATCGTTTAATTGTCAAATAAATTTAATTTTTATGTTTGGCATCCAACTCCTTGATTTCTTGGACTAACTTTTTCACTAACCTGAATCTGAATTACTGATTTTGGTGTGCCATATTTTCTTTCAGCTTTTCTCTGACTTTGTTTCCTTTTTTTTCACCTTCGCAACAGCTTCCTACAGATTCTTTAAACAGCGTTTCCCAATTCTTTCTTCGGCTGCAGAACCCTAAATGTTAGACCGTCTTTTGGTGGAACCATGAATTTATAAATTAAATAAATTACGAATGTATTAATCAATGGAAGACTACTTTATTTTGAAAGCATTTGAAAAGAGGATTGAGGCCATGAAGTCACCAGGTTCGAATCCCAGCGTTAGCTGGCTGATACTAACTCTGATCCTGGCTCGCACCGACCACAGTGCTGACGTAAAATATCCTCAGTGGTAGATGGATCATGGGTTTGAATTCCCTTGCTGTCGGGCTAACCTTGGAAGGTTTTCGTGGTTTTCCACACCATGTATCATAAATGAGGAATAGTTCCATCGAAATAGTCCTCCACAAAGGCTAGTTTGTCCCAATACGTTGCCTTGTCTTCTGGATTGTGTTCAAAATTACAGGGCTACGGAGTTAACAAAGCCGATTATTAAATAAAATAAGAGGAATGAAATTTTTTCAGCTCTTTATCATTAATTATTTCAAATTATGGTTTATGACCGACAATTCAATTCGCAGTCTAGGTGTTGAATCCAGTCTAATAAGGAATTTGCTTTTTGTCTCTATGCAAAAGCTGAAAATAATTAAAATGGACTGAATTACGGATTTTGTTGAAATGAAAACAAAAAAGAAGTGCTGTAAACAATGAAAATATTTTATAAAAACAGCTGACCTAAAATGTTGTAAAAAAAATCCTAGCTCTTGAAACCCCTTAACTCTTTCGTGGAACCCTAGGGTTCCATGGAACACCATTTGGGAAAGACTGCCAGAATGAAAAAAGAGGCTCCTATGCATTCCGTCATAACACAAAATTTTTGAATCAACATTAAACATTGTCGTAATTACCTTATTCTGGCAAAAAATGGAGCCATATGACCGTATACTTTTAGATAATAACATGCACCAAACTGTATTTCAAAGATTTGTTTAGCCTTTTTAGAATTATTTGAATAATAACTCCCTATTTTTATTCAAAAACTATTTTAAAGTTCTTAAAAATTTAACAAAATGAATTCAAAGAGCTTGATGAAGCAAAAAAAATTTTTTTTTCCTTCTAATTTTTACTCTAGAGACGAACTTTTTGAAAATGGCGCTGATCACAATTACATAAAGTTGATCTCCAAAGAAAGGTGATAAGAGAGAACTGATTGTTTGGTTCCTAGAATAATAAATCATAAGTGTTGATAATCACAATTAAAATAGTATGTGTAATCAATTACTTTTATAATCCTAACTAGTAATCAATAACATTTTGCTTAACTCTATTATCGAACCGTAGACTTCTTTATTCTTTAAAGAATAAAAATATTTTTGATTGTGTTTCATTGTATCGTTATATTCCCTGCTGGTTTCACATTTCTCCTCCTAAACTATTTTATTTTTTTTCCTATAAAGAAAAAAAGGGTCAACTCCAAAGAAAGGTGATAGAAAAGAGCTGATTGCTTCGTACCCAGAATCCTCCACTCTATTCTTATCTCTTTGTTACGGGATTGCTTTCAAGCCTTTTTTTTTTTTTATTTTTTTTTTATTAGTGTTCCTTTTTTTTATTTTCCAGTGGATTTTAGAAGCTGCCACTGCGTGTACTTTTTTTTTTTTAAATAAAAAAATAAAAACAAATTTTTATCGTACCAGCCCGGGAATGTTTTCTTTGAATGAAGATGAGTTGGTTGTTTTCTTGGTTGATATAAATGCGCAAGTTTTTTTTTTTTTTTTTTTTTTTTTTCTTTTNTTTTTTTTTTGTCTTTCATTTTTTGTTTTATTTATTTTCATTCTTCTTTATTTGATTCCTCCTACGATCCAATTTATCCACATTCAAATTGGATGTGTGTCTCTCTTTCCCTTCAACTCCCGGTGAATTTGGATTTTGAATTTACGGAGCAGAAAGGTGCCAATTTAATCGTTTGATTTATTACGTAATTTGCGATATTTCGCGCCGTTGCCAAAGAATAAAAAAAAATATTGATTTGTCGTTTGCGTGTTTTATAGAAATAAAAAACGATAAAATCTAAACCCACTCTTCTACATGAATGGTGTCAACAAAAGCGTAGTTTGCCGCGTTAATTTTCTTTTTATTTATTGGTTGTTTTAATATAAAATATTTCCTTTTTTACGTTTCGTATAATTTATATTCATTTTCGAGAGTTTCCAAAATTTAATTCCCTTAAGCATTTAAATAATTGATTTCGTTTTAAAAGAAATATCTTATCGATTTAATGAATGTATTTTTCATTTTTGAAATTTTGGGTAATTAATCATTTTATTTCGTTATGGTTATTTTAATGATTTAATGAGATTGCGATATTGTTTTTTATGAAAATTCCCTGCCTTTTAAACTACATATACTCTAAAAAGGGGAAATAATAAATACGCAACATAATTATAAATAGTCTGATATGATTAGTTATATTTAAGGCAAAAACAAAGTTACTAATGCGAAGAAAGAAAAGGATGGAATTTCAGGTACAGGTAACTAAGACTACTTCGGGTTCATGATCGATTATATAATTAGACGACTTCCGAGACAGGTTCCGTTCTTAACTCCAGGACCTAAAAACAGGATAAATCTTAGTAAGAAATTCTCATTCCGCAAAGATTTTAATTTAACCAAATTTAATTATTATTTTAGGGTTTGTTAGCTTTTTTTAATCCTGCAGACTGTTTTGAAAAGAGGTCGCTTTTTTCCTCTTTTCTCTGTACTTCGAAAGAAAAAATGTGATTTTTAGAAATTAAATAATATGGGCTATAACTAGTTTAAAAAAGGATTTTTTGACAGTAACTATTTAGTGAAGCCTGATCAGAATGTTTTTGAAGAATGCAGAGAAGCTTTGAGAATTTATAAAATACATGGTTCTGTAAAGCACATAAAGCTGTGGTTTACACAGCATTAAAATAGGAATTTAACAACGAATTGCTCAAATTTTTGTCCAAAGTTATTGCAAGCAAACTGCTCAAAAATAAATATTTTCCGAAAGCTAATCCAAAACAGCACCAATCTGCTCAAAAACTGGCATTTGCACCGAATCTTCTCCAAAATTGTCATTTGCACCACGTCTTCTCCGATACTTCCAATACTGGCATTAATTTCCATCAAGTCTGTTTACTTTCACTAAATTTCTTCAAATCATTACCAAATTTGCACCAAAACTGTTTAAAAAATTGTTACATAGCAAAAATGAAAAATAAGTGAATTTCTTTCATTTGAAAAATTAATATGAAAAGAATTTGTAATTGGTAAGTTATTCATACTGCATCGACAAGACTTCTAATTGTAAGTTCTGATGAAACTAAATCCAGAGGTTTTCAAAAGAATAATATTTTTTCTAAAAAAGCGAAATTATTGATCAAAATAATAAAAATTACTACTTATATATACTTCACGTTATTGAAATCGTAACGATTAGATTTCATTTCCAAAAACTACAAATTTAGCTCAGACGATTTATTCTAGATTTTAGTTCAGAAGTTACTGAAGTAGAATTTAAAGAATTAATGAAGTGGAAGTAGAAGTTACTGTTATAGGAAAACTGAAATAATTTTCTGATTTATTTATTGTTTATATTGTACAGGTATACGAACAGACTGAAGATGCTACCGGATACATGGTTGCACAATCAGGTGATGCTACATGTGACGGCCTTTTTACTCCTCAAGAAGGCTCGAGAACTATGCGTTTGACGAAAGGTATTTTTAACTCTTATTAATATTTTCTAGTTAACAATGTATAGTATCAAAGAAAAGAAGAATAGCTGTGAATAACTTTTGATCTAATGATCGGATTTTCACGTATTAAGACTCAATCCAGGGCTCCCACGGGTCAGGGGAGAACAGGCAAAACCTGGAATAGTCAAGAAATTTTAACTCTAAAAAACAGGGAATGGTGTGGAAAGTTACAATTTTTTACAAAAAAACTGGAAAAATTCCTATATCACGCCTGAAAAATAACCCGTCTTAGAATTGCCAATAACAGTTATCAGTAATGTAGATTCGAGTTAAATAATTATAACGTCTATTACAAGCATTTTATAAAATTCCACTTTTTGGAGAAACTTTTTCATGTTTCCATTCTAATTCTATTACTATATTGTTTTGCTCGCAAAATCTATAATCTGACATCACAAATAAAAAATCATAGTTTTCTGATGACAAATCGCATGGTATAGATAAAATACGGTATGGATTTCCATTGAAATTTACCTGGTACACCTGGAAAAGTCGGGGAATTTTTTTTTTCTTTCTGAAATTGAGTGGGAATTTTAATGGTTTATGGGGGGGGGGGTGACCTCAAGTATGCTTGTTAATTATTACAGACAATATTTTAGGTTACCAAATCAGACTCAAAAACGCACTTTCTTTGAATAAATAGAACTTTTTTCGACGGATTTTGATTTCTGATCCTCAAAATATAGAGTGCTGCCGTAATCTGGAAAATATTGTCCCAATAGTTTGTTCAGGACAGCGGTCCCTAGTTTGAATCCCTTAATGGTAATTTCAAGCAGGACGTCACGTTTCGAGAATTTTTTGAGCTAATCGAACTATTTTTGCTCGCAATTATAAAATTTGCTTATCCAAAGGTAATTTCATACAAAAATAGTTTTTAGTAATTACTTATTACTTTTATTATTTATTTAAGAACAGTCGAAAAAATTTTAAAGTGCAAGGTATAATAATTTTTACTTAATTTTAAAGAATGTAATTTTATTAGGCATTTTATTAAAATTTGAACGAAATCGGTGGAACAGTTGTTGCGAAATCGAATTTTATGTACGCAACCTCATTAAAATTCGGTTTCTTAGGTTATCCCCTAGATTTGGGGGTCAAGAATCGAGAGTCCGGCCAAAAAAAAAGGTATATTTGTTCAGTGAAAGTCCGTTTTTGTGTCTGATTTCGTAATTAATTAGCATATTTTAAGATACCACGATAAACCATTAAGATTGAGTAGTATGTGAAAATCCGATCACTAGATCAAAAGTTATTCAGAGTATAATTCTTACCTTTTTTTGCGCACGGTACATTTATTTTAAGTAATTTTAGAAATTAGTTCTTGTTTTGAAGTCATCTGAAATACAAAACATTCCCTTGAAAAAATATGCTTATTGCCCTAATATTTTCGATGCAAAATATTTTATTCCTATTTGTCCTGATTTTTAGTCCCCCCCCCCCTGATGTTTCTGATTTTTGTGTCGTTTGTCCAAAACATCCCAAGTTCTGCAACTGTAAGTGCGGATTTTAAAACGATTTTAATAATCGGTAAAAAATTAATTGAATTTTCGATCTTTTTTTTAATTATAATTGCAAAATTCAGATGTTCAAGCAGTTAATATGTCCATTTTTAATTTTTTTTTAAAGTGTCCGATTGGCAATTTGAATATGGTGTTAAAGATAAAATTATTAAAATTTTTAAGTAGAAATGTGTTTCTCTTGTTCTTCAAATTGCAGTGAAAACTTTGTTTTTATACTTTTCATTTCAATGCATTTGATTCAAAATCGAAAGCACTTTAAACTGTCCATTTACTTACAGTAATGGTTTAGTTTTTTATGGTGTATTAATTTTTTTTCCTTCTTTTGTATACATTTATTTTTTAGTATGTAGATTATATACGATTTAAATTTGCAGATTATATACGATTAAAATATAACCGATTGCTAATCGAAAAGTGGTGTTAATGATTAACTTACGTGTAAAACTTTTTTTTTTCTTCTCTTGTCCATTAAATTGCAGGGAAAACATTCTTTTCATTACTTATACTTTTCATTCGATTTATTACAAAATAATCGAAAGTACTTTTATGTGTCCATTTACTGAAAATAATGGTTTAGTTTCTAGTTTTTTATTTTATTATTTTGATGATTATAGAGATAACGATTTTTTATGTTTAGGTCTTTAAGATTATGATATAATACATATTTTTATCATTTGTTTATTTACGTATACATTTATTCTGTAGTGCATAGAATATGTACGATTTAGTTTTAAATTAATGTATTGTCATATGAAAATATCTATAAGGATCAATTTTCTTTTAACTTTATTTCGACCTATTTTTATATTGAGGAATCTATTTCCAAACACGATAAAATTGAGGCACTCATGCACAAAAGTTTACTAAAAGTTATGATTTTTTTTTTAAACCACTTCAAAGCCTGATTTATATTTATTTATCTATAAATTACTACAATACAATATTAATACTAGATGGCGAATTATAACTTGGGCACATTTAAATTTGATAGTATCAAATTTATAATAGTTAAGTTTTCTTTTATAAAAACTTTACTCAGATCTTAAATTTTTAAAAACAATCTTATTTAGAAATAAAAGGTCATCCCTTTCCGTATTTTTACACGAATTCATAATTAAATTAAAGCCCTGTAACATTATCCTGCTTTATTATTTAATTTCGTATTTATATTGTTACTCAGATGTGCCAAATACTACGCTTTTTGGAATGTATTTTACATATTAAACAATCAAAAACTAAAGCTTTCAGAATTCTGTTTGGTTTTGAAAACAGTTTAAAAGCTGCACCGTGAGATGTCTGGTACAAAATGGGTTTTTATATAAAGTTTTAAGTCATTTATGTGTAGTGGTATTCACACTATCAAAATAAATTTTCAATTTAAATGATCGATATATGATTGTTCGGGGGGGAAATTAGGAAAATTTTTAATTCTGAACATAATCTTGATGTTAACCATCAATAATTCCATCATGAACCATTATATTTTTGATAGTAACCAACATAAGTAACCATCACTCCAATGTAGGAATTCAGACTGATTTATGATGGTCTAACATAAGAATAGCAACTTGTTTTGATGGTTTGTTCCCTATAAACCATCCGAAATTTCAATAACAATTTCTTAGAAATCAAATGTTGAAACGATCATGAACAACCATCACCCCAATGTATGATTTCGAACTGATTTATGATGGGAAACATAAAAAAAATTATTTTGATGGTATATTCCGTCAAAACAATTTGGTTTTTTCCATTAAACCATCATGGAAATGTATAGTTGGAACCATCATGGACTATCACGGATCGATCCGTGATAGTCCATGATGGATGATCATCCATGAGAATCAAACTTCTCTGGATCATGGAATGATGGAAGTTTGCTGGCATATGAAAAGCCATGAACGCATAATAGAAAATGTTAGATGATGGTGATCATCAAGAATTTTGACTTGGGTTTTCAAACGTTCTTCAGTAGTTTCAAAAAAAACTAAATGACATTTTTTTTNTTTTTTTTGCAACAGTAATATCTATTACCTCTATAATTGGTCCATTATTATTACTGACACAGCAATAAAAATAATAATTGTTGATAAAAAATTGTCTTTGCAAAAACCTTTATTTTAATATTTTCAAACGAATTTAGATTGAAATTCATCCATCCTCTTTATTTCTAACTTAAATAATTGGTAATAAATTAATTGTTTTTATTCCAGCTAATCATCCTCATGCCAAATGTCATTACCCGGATTGGTTTACTGTTTACCGACATTTTCGAGGTTTAGATGGACGTTTGGCTTATGACATTAGTCACAAGAATGGATCATTTCGAGTGTCCAATGCAACCACTGGTGATGTTGTCAAAAGAGTAGTTTGCACACAAGATGCATCTCCACATCACCACTCTCCTACCAGTACTACAGCTCCATCTGTCGGTGGAACATTCGCTCAATTTGTTGTTCACGTCACTTCTGGATGGTAAGTCGATTATTGAGTAAAAATGATCGTAGCGATAATAATAGGTGCTATGTGCATGTTTTTGCTTATGCACGAAAATAATCGTAATTAAGCAATAAAACAATTGTTGGTGATGGGAACGTTGGGTTTATGATCCTAATTAAGATTCTTCCCAATATTTCAGAGAAATTTCAAAAAATTTCATTGAAATATTTTCATGAATCTTATGTTTGTTTAGTTTAGTGCTTTCGCTAGACTTCCGAAACTACGGGCAGAGCCTGACTAAGGCAGGGGCACGGGGCAGTTGTCCTGAGTTGTCCCGTTTATTTTGCGTTTCCTTCTTTAATGAATTTTTCTTAGACAAAATGTCAGTAGGGGAGAGTGGGGTCAATTGTAACAGGGTACGATTGTGACAAAGCAAAAATTTCGAGTGTCGGGTTCTAGATTTGGTTCCTAGGTGGCGCACAAGGTGTATTTAATAAATCTACATGTACACCCCTGATGGCAACCATTTTTATGTACTTTTGAAAGAGTTACATCACAAAAGATATTTTCACGCCACGCAAGTACTTTTTTTGGTATTAGAATATTATATTGTAACAAAGTAATTTTGTTTAAACAAATAAAAATTAGTAACCGAATATGTAAGTGGACACTTTAATTAACATTTCAAAAAAAAAAAGATTAGTTTTGCTAATTAACTAGCATTGTTTTTAACAAATGAAGCTGAAATGGCGTCTTGGGGACAATTGTAACAATAAGTAAAGGGACGATTGTAACAGCTGAAAATAAATAATCTTATGTTTACAAACCATTACTTAACTCTTTAAGAACCACCAATAGTTTCCTATATCATTTATATTATGTTGCATGTGCATTATTTTATTTGTCACCTTTCACAGCATAAATTAAAATTTTTAACCCCTTAAAGTTAAAAGTTTAACCCTTTAGGTCTCTGCTCATTATTATTTTTACTCCTAAAATATCACTACTATTTTGATCAATAAAAAAATATATCACAACTATGATAATATGTATAATTAACTATGTTTTAGTTGAATTTATGAACTGTTACAATTGACCCCGTAAGTGGGGACAATTGTAACAAGTGCACGACTGTCAAAAATTGTTAATAACTAATATAATAACATTTAAAATAAGGTTTTTTTTTTTTTTTCTAGTAGAGGATAGTCTACTTTACTCGTCTGTCAATTAATACTAATAATATATTGAGTTTTTTGTTAGTTAAAAATAGTTAAGTAAAAAATGTTACAATTGACCCCACTCTCCCCTACAGTGTAAAACCTGTCAGTTTTATGTTAGCTTTTTCGTTAATTTGTCGTATGAGCACAAAAGATCTATATTTCGTAAATCCATGGCTTTCTAGGGCGAAAATCAGCTAAATTTTTACAATTATAAAGGACAAATTTAGGCAATGAAAAGCATGTATTTTTACATTTCGCAAAATGCGATATGTTTACGAAAATACGGACTTCTGATTGCCTTAATTGAGCCATGGTAATTGTGAAAATTTAGCTTGATTTCCTCCTTATGTCAGCAAGGGTGTGAATTTTTCGCAGCTATGTGACAAAGTTAACAATCAGGGAACTGCATTCGGCATGATGAAAATAGAATTGTCAGAAAATCAATAAAATGGACAGAACGATACTTCGTCTGACAAATTGAATGGGGGACTTCATACCTGTTTTAAGTTCAAATCAATTTTCTTGTTATGTATCTATAATGAGGTGAAAAATTTAAATACCTCCATAAAGTTCGGTTCTTCATTGCTAAAGTAGTGAAGAAATTTTTGACCTGAGCCCCAATTAGGCTAAGTCGGGCGATGACTACGGGTCGTTAGGTCCGAAGACTTCCAAACTTCCGAGTCATTTTTTAGAAAAAATGGGTCCCTATTTAAAATAATATAAATGCTCCATTTAGAGATATAAGGTATAAAAGATGAATATTTTGTGATTTAGAAAAAAGTGCGATTTGTTACTGATTCAGTAATTATTCAACAAAAAAGTTAAAACAAAGTTGCCCGACGATTGTCTTCAAAATTGAGTGATCTGTTTAAAAGATAATATGAAACTATATTCTTTTTGATATGTATTAATTTATTATGCTGATTCGATCATTTAAAATAATGCTTTTCTAATAGTAAGATAAAAACGAATATCAATGAAATAGGAATTGTATGTATGCTACTGGTAGTATGTTAAAAAATTTATAAATGAAATAATATCAGCTTTTGTATAATTTTAGTTGAAAAATAAAAAACATGTTTCCATAAAGAGATATAATCGAATAGCGTCATTTATTTATTATGAAAAATACTACTTTTAAGTTGCAAAAATATTTTTTTGTGTGATTTGGAATGAAAATTATGCGTCCCAGAGGACGCATCGTCATTTATCTCATCTACGATTTTCGGCGTATTTGACGCACTATAGTGTGTAAATGTGTTACTAATTTGTCTTAATTTTAGCAAATTTTAGATTATAGTAAAATGTATATTAGATTCAACTATTTAGGAATTTTTTTTTTCCTTTCTTTTTTATTTCAATTCAAATAATAATTTTTTAATTTTTTTTTTTTTTTTTTTTAATTTTAACGAATGAATATTTTGGTTTTATTTCAGCTAAGATAAAAATAAGTTAAGCAAAAAAAAATTACTCATTTTGCAGATGTATAAAACTTTTCTGGATTTTTTTTGTACATGTGCATTTTAATTTCGTCTCCCTTTCCCAAAAAATAAATGCCTTCACAATAAAAATCAATACATTTCACAATAAAATTATTATATATGTAAATTATTAAAAATAATAACCAGACAATTTCAAAATTGAAATTTTGGATAATAAATTATTTAATGCTTTTCAAAAAATTTAAAAAATCTGTAAAATTTGGATAAGATTTGTTGGTGGAAAAAAGTATTCTTATAATTGCAATACATAAATGCAAATAAAATATAAAAAAGCATTTTGCTACTTAATATGACAAAAAGCTACTTCTCAAAAATAAACCGTGAAAAAAATTTTTTTTTTTTAAATTTTTTGATCATCCAAAAAAAAGGATCATTACCAGAAAAGGATAAGTACTTTTTTTTTTTTTTTGCTTGCCATTAAAAAATAATAATAAATAAAAGTCGTTATCAATAGACAAAATTTATTGTTTTATCTAATTCTAATCGGATGATCAAAAATCATTTTTTTTTTTAAAAGATCCAGTAATATCAACTGTCTTTCTTTTTTTTTACAGCAACAGTGGTTATGCTTGTTTACGGATTCACAAGCGGGCTCCTCATGTTGTGGAACTACAAACAACAAGTAATTTTTTACATATATCATATTCATCATATGTTAGTGATAAAATTGAATTCTTAACTATCACTAACATGTTTATCTATCACATGTAAAAACATTTTAATGTAATTTGTATTTTTATTTATTTGTATTACCTTCATGATTTCACATAAATTTTATAAATTTTCAGGTAACTTGTCTCCCCTAGCATCTGACGCGTGCCTTGGTACCAATTTTGAGCTCAACCCATCTGAAATAGTAACTTTAACCAGTATGTATATGATATATTCATAAAAATGTATGATATAATATTTCATTTTGTGCCTTAATATATTCATAAAGTCATATCAGTGTTCTTAAGCTTTTTAGAAGGGTGGATTGCCCTGCTCTCCTTTTGATCCCTATAAATGTGCCCTCCGTGCCCTTTATGTAAAAATATCGTAAAATCCACCATCTTTTAAAAACACTGCCTTTTTATTTTATTTTTTCAGGAAAAAGTTGTTTCTGACCTGTTTTAATGAAAAGTCCACTTCTGAATACTTTGGTTATTGATAATTATTTAACTTTAATTTTTAATTTCATTCCTTCATTCTAATAAGATTTTTCTTATGTTGTCCAGTTATAGAGTTAAAATTGACGTGATATTTACAGGAGATATATATTTTTTTCAATAATTAGGACCAAATTTTTCGAAGATATTATACTATTAGATCCAATTATTAACCAGAGTTGTGATTTCTTGCAGAAAAAGTATATTTTGTAAAGATACTGAAAAGAACGCAAAGTATATTTGAAGTCTAAAAATTACTACTAAAGTTGTATTAGCTTATATTTAATTAAACACATACAATTTAATATAGTGCAAAAAAGTTGAAAGTTTCCCTTCATATTTACTTTTTTAAAAAGTAACTTTTCTTATTTTATTTTTATACAAAGTGTTAAAATCTATTTAATCTCTTATAAAATTTTTATTTTAAATGGATTATGTCTTGTTTTCTTAATATAAATATGTACTGTTACATCCAATAAATTATTTTTACTTATTATTTTAAAATTATTGTACTCATTATTTATATTTTTGTTATTATTTATAGTTTTGTTATTATTTTTAGTAAGAATTTGTCCTTTCATTTTAAGTAAGAATCGTGATAATTCATTCAGAGTGTCTACCCATCATGAAACTTTTTGTGACCTTTAATCCAAATTTGACGATTTTTTAGGTTACTAATTTTTATGATGCGATTTTTCCAAGGAATCTGATGTTGAGAAATAGAAATTATGTAGTTTTAAAAAATAAGGGATAATTAACAGGTCTACTGAAAAGATTTTTGTTTGCCATGGTGAACACTTTGAGATATGACTATATTTTCATGGTGTTAAAAGTAGAAATTGAGATTGTCTAAGGTAGTAGAAGTATGTCCTTTTCTAAAAAGTAATAATCTGGTTTGTCCAAGGTTGTAGGAATCTGTCCTGCCTGAGTATTTTCTCAGGCAGTAGGAATCAATACTTCCCTTAAAAGCAAGAATCCAATGTTGTAGGAATCTGTCCTTTCCTTAAAAGCACGAATCGATATTGACTAAGGTAGAAAAAATCTGATCTTCTCTAAAAAGTTTAAAACGGGATTGCCCAAGGTTATAGAAATCTGTCCTTACCTAAAAAACAGGAATTCAAATTGTCCCAGGTAGAAGGAATTTGTACTTTTCTTAAAAGGAAGAACCTTTTTTTTTTCAGTAGAAATTTGTCGTTTCCTTAATCGACTTGGCCACCTATGAATACATCGTTCCGGATTCTAAACCCATTTTATAACAAAAAATCAGCTTAATTTTAATTATTAAAATACGATTCACATGTCTCAGATACCTATACCCGAAGAAGGGAAATTCAGTGTCTCACTCAACATAATTAAATAACTGTATTTTTAACGATACCCCGCTTGCAACTATTATTAGAACATACACTAATGTCCAAAAGTTATGCATAATTTTCTTCAGAACATTAAGCATGTAAAAGGCATATCTTAATGTATAGGACTTAAAATCATTGTACTGATGTAGTATATTTTTTTAGCGCAATCATATGGATCACTGGAATGTCCAATAGCTGGTATTTACTCTTTGGAGGGAAATTTCATTCATTTGTCTCGCTTGGTTTCACTGGATTCGGAAGATTTTTCTACTTGTGTTGGTACAACTACATTGACATCGGGATGTTCAGCTGTTGACAAAATGGAACTTCACCAGGACTGTTCAACTGACAAGAGATATCAATGTAAGCTGTGTGTTTAGCTTTTTTTTCCATACATTTATTTTCTTTTTTTAAAAAAAATCTATTTAATTTAATTTTGACAATACATATGTCGACATATATTTAATGTCGACATTTAATGTCGACATATATTTAATTTCTTTTAAAAAAATGTCTACAAACTTTTAAAGGTTTAAATAGTTAGCGCTTTGCAAGTAATTGAGAAATAATACCGTAATTTTCGTCGAAGTATAGTGCGGCTTTCAGGAGAAATCCAGACATCAGTCTTGCGTCATGGCGGGTACCATAGTTTTGAGGAAAAGCCATTTTGAATAAAGGTGTGGGGTGAATAGTTTTGTCTTGATCTTGGCATAGAGAGTAAACCAATCGACACCTTCATTCCTCTATTGCACCCCCATAAGAAATGTGCTCTCGCTTGTTACCATAGCAGCAGACAGCCTCAGACCTTCAGTCTGGAGTTCTCCTCAAAGCCGCTGTGTATAATCCACCAGCTCCAGCACCCCTTCTGAAGAAAATTGTGGACAATCCGCACCATCATATTATCTGTTAATTATGTGGTGGTCGGTCCGTTTACCTTGACAATTTACTTAATTTTTCAAGGAAATAACTTATCCACACAAGCTCCTTTGAACGACAGAATTTACATTATATATGAGCAAACCTACGTCATTTATAAGCCAATGGGCATCGACAGGAAAACAGCCTTAGCAGCAAAATAACTTGTGCCCTCATGGGGGTAATATTTACAAATCTTGGCTCAATATGAGTTCAAAGGGCCGTTATTTTTCCGATATTGGTCCGATATAGAATTGTTTGAATCACCTGATATTTTACACTCACTTTACAGTCAATATCGGCCCTATATAGAATTGTCAGATTCACCCAATATTTTATATTTAATATTCAGCCAATATAGGTCATTCTAGGACCAATATTAAAAATTCTAGACAACCCAATATTGCTCTCGCCGCGTGTTCTTATGGGACCCATATTGAGCCCAATTGGGGCCAAGGTAAAATTGCTGCAACTACTGTAGTTGCAAACAATCAGTTTGCAACTACAAAGTTAAAGTTTGCAACTACAGAGTTAAAATTTGGCATGCTTAAAGCTTGCTTTGTTGTATGTTCATAAACAAATATAACCCTTAAAGAGCCATACATAGGACAGAGATTTTTTACAAAATTATAATTTATTCGAAAGTTATTGCAGTTTTAAGTGCTTTTTGGAAATTCTTTCTTTGCTTTAAGTTATATTTTGCTTTGCTACTTAAAATCTATGAGACTTGGAAACTTAAAATTATGAAGAGGTGCAAAAAAGATTTGAGTAGCTCCATGGAATAGATAAACTACATTTCATTTTTCTGTTCGAGAATTATTAGGTGTTAAGCTAAGCTTGTAGTAAAAAAATCGTGTTAGCCATTCTAGTGTCCGCTGAAATACAACTACGGGACTGAAATTCGAAGTGCTGATAAAACCATTTTGAATTATTAACTAAATAAAAAACATTTTTCGAAATTCTTAATTATTTATAAGTTATTACTCTTTTAATTGTTTATTTGATATTTATTTTCTTTAAATAATAAATATTTATCCATTTTTCTAGAAAAATTTATCTCTTGCAATTTTTATTTCATAAGATCGCATTTTTCTTGATGTCAATATTAACAACAAAAGAAGAAATAAAAATAAGAGAGAGATTAGATGTTGCCAGATATTAATCTTAACATTTATAAAGAAAATTTTAAAAATAAATACAGTAGAGAGATAAAAACTGTTTCCAATGTAAACTGTTATATGATGTAAGACTATCGTTATGTACTGTAGTCAAGTAAAATTACTTCTCATTATTACTTCTTTTTGCGTCCCACATTCTGTACTCCTTAGTATAATTTTTAAGTACAGTAGATTATTCTAATTACCTTAAACATAAAATGTGATTAGGTAAAATTATAGTAATTTTATAATTTATCAGCAAAATGACCTTTTTTATATCATCTTTTAAGAATTTTTTTTGAAAAAAGATCAGGAGTTTATCTCCGTGAAAACTGATTCTAAGGAAAAAAACAAATTTGCACACAGACAAGAACTGTATTTCCACAACATGGCTCTACTTCAGTGGGAAATAACTCTCGGGAGGAACTGATTTTCCATTTTACTGAAATACCATTACTTTGTAATCCTCTAAATGCAACCGATGACAATCAAATCATAATTTTTGTAAATAATCTATTTAAATAGTTCTTTCCCCTTGATTATCAATGATGATTGAGAATCAACTACGAGAGTTGGTGAATGCAACAAACAGGGGGTGGAGCCGCTTAGTACTCTTAAAAAATGCATATTGAAGTTCTTATATACTCAAATTACATTTAACATTAAGAAATAAATAACATGTACAGCTAAGATTTACCGTTTGATTCGGTTCAAAATTTTTTTCTACGTTTTTTAAATTTCTAAAATATTTTATTATTAATTGCAGCTTTCCAATGCCGTGGAAGTTGGGAAGAAAATGGCTTGAAATATGTTATTGCTACTGCTGTGGGAACTCGGAAACATCTCTGCCTAGTAAGTTTAGATAAGATTTGTCCATTTTGTGTTTAATTTAATAAATATTCAGTTACTGTGCATATTGTTATCCTTTTATTCTACTTCATTAAATATATTCTTCCTGGAATTGCTGTTACACTTTGGTTTTTCTAACTACACATTAAATAGTAACGATTAAATGGTGGACAAATTACAAATTTTGTTTTGCATAAAATAACAGTGTACAGCAAGACTAACTTTCAATGTTAAAACTTAAACCTAACCTGTTTATTATCATAAAGAGTGTCTCAAAATACATGGAAAATCTGGAATTTGATATAAAATGTTTGTTAAAAAAATTAAAAAGACTATTACAGCTGTTTGTGTATAATTAGAATATAAATTTCACCCATTGAATTTTATGTAATTGGCTCGTTTTTGCTGCCATGAAGTTTTTAAATTGAGCCATATTAATTTTTTTTTTTAAATAATTTTGCAGGCTTATGCAATGAGTGAAAGAACAATACAGTTTTCAGGCAGTATGGAACAGTGTCTAAGAAATATCCAGGTTGGAAGAGAAGGTTTAATTGCTATCAATGGAACAAATAAAGGTCAGTCAATTTTGTATGCTTTTATTTTTTTACATAATCATGTACACAAGGTGTCCAGATTGTATTTTATTTCATTTTATAACTTCGCTAACAGCCAACCTTATTTTGAGTTTACCACTATAAAGTTGAGTTCACCACTGAGGATATTTTAAGCCAGGACTGTGGTCGTTGCAAGCTGGGTGTGGAATTTGATCCCGGATCACCACATTCCGGCGGTGATTGCTCAAAACTATCAAATATTTCTTCAAATCTTGTAAGAAAATTTTTCTGGACTTCAGAACGGTCAAATGGCTTAAATATTTAACAAATTATTTTTTTAAAAATTAAAAATCGCCAATTGAGCTAAATTTGTTTTCTTTTTGTCGAAAATCATCAAAATTACTTCACTATTTTAACTTTTCGCCAATGTCTGGGATTCCATGCAATCAACAAGATTAGAGCAACGATGAAAAAATTCAGAAAATTGTGGGTTTCTTTGTGCTGACATTTTGCTTCATTTTTATAATTAACTTAAAGAACTGTAGACCAGCAAAACAAGCCTCACTACAATTATAATAGCATATTCTTCGTTAAAACGTGTAAGTTAACATAGCGACAAAAACTTTAAAGAAAAGCCTCAATAATCAAGTTTTGAAAATTATAAAAGCACCGGCATAATAATGCATTTTTCAATTCTTACTAAAAATTAATATATTTAGAGCTGCGGTGCTCCACGAGATAGAGCACTCGCTTTATAATGAGGTGACCCAGGATCAAATCCCAGCCATGACTGATTGATTTTAACTCTACTTGTGGCTCCCACCAACCACAGAGCTAATGTAAAATATCCTCAGTGGTAGATCATGGTTAGAAATCGTCGGCTTAACCGTGGGGAGTTTTTGTCTCCATGTAACCTAAAGGCGTGTGATTGTAATAAAAAAAAACCTCCACAAAGACAAGTTTTTTTTAAATGCATGATCCAAAAGTTTCCTTGGGGGACTGGGTTAAAAATTACAAGGACATGGAGTTGTACATTGATATGTAGTCCTAAACCTAATATTGGGTCTTTTGTTTATTGCCAGTTATAAAATGAATATAAAACGTTTCAAATCTGGGTTTTAATACTCATGAGTACTGTTAATAACTATGTTTAAATTATAACTTAAGTAACTGTTTACCTTTATTTATTCCAGGATTTTGCCCAAGAGCCAGCAGTGCTCGCAGCTCCATGCATTACAGTCTGTCTATGACATTCTTGAATGTCATCACGATTGTTTTTGTGACAGCATTCATCTTGCGGTGATCTTCAACATTACTGTAAATGTTTTACTTTTGACAACAAAACCACACCACAAAACTATACAATCGAAGACAAACAATAAGCAACCTCATTGTCATGGAACTGAACTATGTGAAGGTTGATATCCAGAGATAGTGACTCTTTCATTTTAAAAACAAATCCGATTTCTTTGCTCAGAATGCTAAGGCCTTCAGACTTTGGTGAAAACTGAAACTGAATAAATTTTTATTTAGTAGGATAAATTCCCATAAGTTTAATATTTGTTATATAACTATTAAGGATATAAATATATATATATATATAAATGAAGACTACTTTTTCTCTTTGTTGTGTTATGAAGTGACATTATTATACAAAGCCTTGGTGTCATATCTCAAACTATGTTGTTATATAACACAATTCCAATGATGATCGCCATTTTTGTGTCTGTTGGAGCCGGATGCGATTTTTTTTTCTTTAGTGTGTTTCTTATATTGGATGAGTCAACTTGGCCAGGACAATCATTGCTTTGCCTTTTGTTGTGTTGTTTAAAAAGCCATTTTTGTTGTATTTTAGAGTTATTGGTTTGATTGTAGAAATTTGTGTTTTATGATGATCTGTATAAAATGTGAATATTTTTTTTTGTGGTTGATTTCCCCGTGATAGTTTTGTTCTCAGAAATGTTATGTTTTTCGTTTTATTAATTAAGTCAATTTCTTTCATTAAATCGATTACTTTAATTAAATTGATTACTTTACTTAAATCGATTGCTTAAGTGATTTTTAAATAATCGTACTGTTGAAAAGACAATGTAAGTGCTTCATGCTAAATTTCGAGAAAAGCCGTTTGGCAAATATTTTCTTTTTATTGCTAATGCTATCAATGATGAAAGAAAATTTCAAAAAAATGTTGACTTTTTGGAGAAAAAATAGTTGCAATATTATCATGCATAAAAATCTTAAGCTCAATTTTGAATTTTTTGTTGCTTACGTTGCTTTTTTTATTGTACTGNAATCGGATCATTAGAACGAAAGTTATTCAGGGTGATATCTTTTTTTTTTTGCGGACTGTACTGCGGGAATCATGGACAAAGATTAAAATTAAGTAAATCAAAAATTTCAAATAAAAACTGGTAGTAAATTTATAGTTTGGTGTTTCACATATTAGCTGCAACAATATTTATTTGTACTAAAATTTCTTATTCATATGTTATTATCATAAATATTTTGTGGTTAACTTGATTATGCTACATCTCTTTACTGCTGACCTATAATTAAAGGAAAGGCATAAAATAGTTTAACCCACTTGCGGTTTAGCAATTGGACAAAATTTTGAGAATGTTTTTGCGCAATATACTGATTTCCTATCTCATAAATTCGATAAACCGGTTTTGCTACATAGGGAGGACTACAATTACAATTTAAATTACAACTTTTTATGTGCAAAACTGTCAGTGGGTTAAAATTTTTCAATGAATATAAAAACACCAAAAATACAGCTCAATCATTATTGCACCATAAAGATTCATGTTGCAAGTTTTAATACTTTAAAAAATTCAAACAATAGCTTCAAATCAGTTTAGGGAAAAAATAGTGGTCACAAAAATTAAAGTAAATTACTTCTATTTCAATTAGTATTTTTAAAAAGTTGCTTATTAGTTAGATTATATCCAATAAAGATATAAATTACAGCAGCTATTTTCAATGGACCTGTTTCAAACGGTTTATTTTGAAAAAATACAGTTAAAAAAAATTTTTTTTTCATTTCAAATATCAAAATTAATAATCAATAACCCATAAATAACAGTGATTAAATATAATAATGATAGCAATAACAATTTGTTCATTAATGGAAATGAAAAATTGTAATAAAGTAAAGTATCGACTTATTAAAAATATATATGTCTACTGCGAGTAATTGGAAGTTGTTTCATAACAAAATATAATCAACTGAAATTTAAATTTTTATAATTTTGTTTAGCATTTTGAAATGCATCACTGCATTTATAAACATTTTTAACTTTTTCAATAAAATAAAAGAAAAACGTAGGCACATTTTAGTAAGTTTCTAGTTGGTTACATGACATTAAATAATTATATAGGGACATCACTATAATGACATCACTTTATATATATTTTCAGAACCTTTGTCAAAAATGAAGTAAAAAATTATAAAACATTGAAGTCTAATATGTATTGACAGGAGAAAAAAATGAAATCGAAATTTAAAGGGTCATTAGTCAAAAAAGTAGGATTCAAAACCTTTTTGGTTGCCTTATGAAACTCGAACATGTCCTTTCTGTTTGTTACATTTTAATTGTGTTTTTCTTCACTTAAATAGAGATAATTTGTAAGCGCTTGTTTTGCATCTACCTGAATATTACCTTTATTTTCAAAACTGACCCTACGATTTCTAGGGAAAGTTTTTGGACATATGCTGTAAAGCTCTAATCGTGTCAACGTTAGAGTTGTAAGGAGGCTTAACTCTTGCAAAACAAATCTCTCTAATGTTGTAACTCCTAATTCACATGCTTTTTTATTTCTCTTTTAATAAAGCTTTTTAAAATATTTATTAATAGCAGCTATTACAAAACATCCAAAGTATTGAAGAATTGCGACTCGGGCATTAATAATTCATCAAAAATTTGCCGCCAATTTTAATTAGTTCTTTAATTTGGGTGTGAAAGGTTTCTGTTTTAAGTTGGATGAAATATGTATTTGTATCTACTCACAATTGTATTAAATGTCCTGAAAATAGTTCCTGAATGCTTTTAAAGTTGCTTTTTTTTATTCTCTTAATATTGATTAAGTATTGAGAATGTTTGTTTTATGATGCATAGTTTTATGGTTTTATCCATAAAGTTGTATTTAAATTTATTCATTTGTTATTATTTATTGTAAAATTTTATTTTTAATTTCTGAACAATTTTAAGTTTTTCCTCATAATAATGTTTACTGAGAAATAAGGTTATTAATTAAATATGATGGTGGACTTATGTCAAACTTTTATTTTCAAATATATATTTTTATTACGATGATTATTTTTTAAATTTAACATTTCATTAATTTAGTTCTGAAATAAAAGTTAAATTGATGCTTCACCAGTTTTATTATGCTTTTCATTAAGATTGTTAGCTGGATTTTTTTATCGTTTCTAATCTTAGCACTTTGAAATATGCAATAGTGATAACTTTATATTTTTTACTGTTTGCCAACATAGTTGAGTGTCAATTAAGAAGTTTCGAGATTGATTTGATAACAAAATTTTTGCATTCTAGAAAACTAATTTGAAATCTAGAGTTATCCTCTATTTATTTTAAATTCTTAATACAATTTCAACTCCTTACAATTTTAACTCCATAACATATATTAATACAATTTTAACTCCTTAATACAATTTTTCTTAGTTCATCAATATTCTATTCTTTTTTCAATAAGTAAATTCCTCTTATTAATAATTCCATAATAATTATATTTTTATAATTAAATATAAACTAAACTAAAAATAAAAAAAATGCTAAGTCATTTCATTATGGGCACATTTCCCGTAAATATATAAGAATACTAATTTAATTCATGTTATTAATCAATGAATTACACGAAAAAAATTAAGAATAATAATCTTAAATGTATGACATTTAAAAAACAAAACACAGTTTAATTAATTAGTGTTAATTGTAAATTTATTCTAGTTTTCACTTTTTTAAGTAGTAAGGCAGGCTATGTAAATTGCTTCAAATTTAAATTTCACAATCAATTGTTTTCGAATTTACTAATAATAAGATTCTAGTTTTCTATTAATGTTTAATCACAGAGAAACAGATATAAGATGATTTTTAGTTATAATGGACATGTTTTTTTTTTTTTATCATACTACTCTAGGGTGCTTTAAAAGGCATACATATTGCTCATATGTATTTATTTATTTTTTTTAGTGGGTAAGAATTAAAATTTGATGATCAATAATTCATTTTATGAACTTTTTGATGAAGTTTCATTGCTAATAACAGTAGTCGAAGCCTCTTCTTAAAATTAAAATAGTGCTAAGAGGCTTATGACTTTTTTCATTTATTTTTCAAGGAAACAAGATATTTAACTTTTTCTGCAATCAATACTATTTAGTTCTGAAAATGATTGTAGTGTTATTTTTAAATTGAAGTGAAAGGTGAACGTTAAGAATTATGCTAGCTATAATTTCAATTAAATTTTTTGTTTAATTGTTTAAAGCAAATTGGCTGCCGTTCTCCAATTTTTTATTGGAGGGTTTGATCCCTGCTCTTGACAATAAATATGAGATATTATTGAGATGGTGAAATCATTCTATTTGTTGCATCTTGTTCAACAAAATTTACTCTCTAACTGATTTACTAGTAAAATAATTCTGAACAGTAGTTGTACTACTCAAATAATGCAAAAACACATTTTAATTATTCAAAACGTAAAAGAAGCATATTTTTTTAAAACTTGATTAAAAAAAATTTAAATGTTTTATTTTAATCATTTGATTGCTTAAAATTATTGTTAATTTTTTTTTTTTTTTTTAATATGTAAAGTTGAAAAATGATTAATTTCTTTGAGCAGTTTAGTTATTCGAAAGAAAAAAAAAGTCTAATGGTCTCTTTAAGAAATGAAAATTCGTTTGGTTGTTAACGTGTCACTCTAGACATGTGCTAGTTACAGCAGTTTGGCTTCAAAAATAACCTGAAGTGGTGCAAATGAAATTTACTTTTGATGTCACAAACTAAGTTTTTTTTTCTGAATTAAGGATCCATATCCGAATTTCAAAATAAAATTTAATTTTTAATTTAGCATGTTCTGGTGCAAATATTTTTGCACGTTTTCAATTAAGAAAAAAAAATGGCTCACCCAATTATGACCAAATTGATACTATTAAATTTCCTAGATTGAAGCTCCATTTTCCTAAAAAAAATCTTTATTTAAACCTAATCTACGTGTTCTTTTGCATTTATTTTTGCATATTTTCAAATTAAAAATAAATTAAAAATTGCTTGAATAATTCTAAACACAATAAAGTTAGCTATTTATTTTCTAGTTTGAAGCTCCATTTTCTTTTATAAAACGACAATAAAATCTTTATTTAAACCTAATTTACATGTTCCGGCCAATTTGTTTTGGCATATTTTCAATTTAGAAAAAAAATTCTTACTCAATTCTGAACAAATTAAAATTAGCTATTTATTTCCTAGACTGAAGCTCCATTTCCCTATTCTAAAACAAAATTAAATGTTTAATTTAACCGAATTTACATGTTCTGGCTCATTTATTTTTGCATATTTTCAATTCAAAAGAATTATATAGCCACCCTAATTCTAAACCAATTAAAATCCGATATTATTTTTACTTCAGGCGTGTCACCTGTGCATTTTTAACTGAAAATTAGATTTTCAAAGCAATCCCATTTACTTGTTATAGTGCATTTATTTTTGCACATTTTCTATTTAGAATAAAACATTTTCACTAACCTACCACTACATAAATTATTCTTTTATTTTCAAGCATCATATATCATTTTTATTGTTTATTTTACAATTTTTTTCGTCCCGCACGTCTTTTTAACTAAAAACTAAATTGTCAATGCAACCTAGTTCACATATTTTACTGCATTTTTTTACATTGTTA